GCTCGACCAGACCTGTCGTGAAGAACTAGAGATGGGTCGTGGCCTTAAGCAAAGGGCTGATGCGGCTATACGCCCCGTCGGCACACACGTGTATATATGTATGTATGTATATATATATATATATATATATATATATATATTATATATATATATATATAATGTATGTATATATATGCATATAAATAACCTCTTAATATGTCACTGACTACCGAAGGCGCCTGACATACCCTAATTCGTTGGTTTATTTCCTCGTCACTGAACGTGGTCCTATTTATACTCGTCCACCACATCTTGTGCTTACATGTGCTCAAATTGGAGGCGATTGCTGTTCATTAGAAGTTCATCATCCAGACTTTCCATTCAAATATTTTTTTGATGACAACAATAATGTCTGCAAATCATGGATTACTGAAATGTTTGTCTCCTACTTAAATATTTTTTTCTCTCCAATCTAGTTTTATATTATCTCAAAGCGAGTTGTAAAGGTTTGCGTTGAAATTGCATCAGTACATATATATACTACTAAAATGCCCATGAACATAATTTTATATATTATATGATATTTCATATATAAAAAATGTATAACAAAGAAAATCTGGCCTAATTTTTGCGCCACTTGAACCCATACGTTTTGCAAAAATGCTACTGTGTTGTGGTTATAAGTGAGTTTCCTTGTGTGTCGCAGGTGGTGAGTCTGGCCATCCCATCGCCAAGGGTACTCAACATACAGCTCTCGGGTGACCACCTCACCGCCTTCCCGCCATCCTGTGGAACAAAGTGCGAGATAGAGCACGGTAGCGCGTCCACCGCAGGGTAGTCCTTCCCCAGCAGCAGCAAGCCTTTACTCCAGTCAGTGACTTTAGCAAAATATTACAACAATTCTAAAATGAGAATAGGAAGTTGAAACTTGAAATAACGAAAACTGTTTTAGTAGAAGTCGAGGAAGCGATTGCAGTAATAGTAGTAATTGTTGCAATAGTATCACAAGCAGTAAACTAATAAAAACACTAGTGGAAAGAAAAAGATCTAGAATGAGTTCAACGCATTTTCCTGTCGTGCTAAAGGTGCCTTCCTCCCACAAAAAGGGCGAACGCCTTTTTATGGCATACTTGGCTATAAATAATCTTTTCGGGAGAAGAATATTATAACAGGTCACGCCAACGTACAAACATGGCGGTGGATTAATTATTTTGTGAAAAACTCCAAGTATAAGAATAATGGAAATGATGCTGAGCAAAATTTGTAAAGGTAATTACTATTATTATTATAATAACAATAACCTAATATCAAGCCAAAGTGATATTTTCACATATCCTTCGCAGCAATAACAACAAATTAGAAATAAAAACAAAACATGACAAGAAGGAGCGCGCCAGCGACGAGACAAAATTAAGAATTTCCAGGAAATGATTATCGTGGACACGCAGCTTCACAGCCCAAGCGACCCTGAGCATACAACTTTATCTTATTTCTGACTGAAGTTCAACTCCGTTAAGACACACACACACATATATGTACATATATATATGTATGTATACATATACATAAATATATTTGTACATATTATATATATATATTATATATATATAATATATATATATATATATATATATATGTGTGTGTGTGTGTGTATGAACATGCACACATATGTGCATGAATATATATATGTACACACATATAAATATATATGTACGTATGTATGTATGTATATGTATGAAAATATACACATATATATTCGCTAACTTCCAGATGTTACACAGAAGGCATGACACCGTGCAATTCAGTCAGTCAGTATATCAATGTTGCACTTGCACTTTGTATTTATGGGCGCGGCTTTAATTACGTTTCAGCCATTTTGAATTTGATTTGGCAAGCACCAAGCCAGTCTTAAGTTGCCAAGATGAAATCCTAAATGGCAGTAACGAGTCAGAGGACGAGATTCCAGTTCTGTGCGTGTTCCAGTGAAACCGAGGGATAAAGCCTGGATCTCTAGCATTGAGCTCCTGCCTACTGAAGGGGATACCTGCGTTAGTGCGGCTGAAGGGAAGGACTTCAGCTAAGCCCAAATGATCGAGTGTTTAAAGGCATAGTAGTCTGGTCTGAATTCAGGGAGAAGCTAATGGTGCCAGTCCTCAGAAGCCCTCTATTTTTAAAGATTTATTTTTATTATCTCATTAGAAAATGTTACAATGTATTTTTGTTATATGATTTTTTAGATTTTCATTGTTGTATTGTAAGCAAGTTTTCTGTCATTTGTTTGTGTTTTTGAGAATTTAGAATTTTGTCCTACTCAGGCCGCGGCAATTTTTTTTTTTTTTTTTTTTTTTTTTTTTTTTTTTTTTTTTAATAGCGGACCCGCCATTTATTTACAGGAAAATGAAAAAAAAGTGAAAATCCTTATTTTTTTTCAAATCTGCCGCCGATATTGTGACGTCTGCGAAAGAATTAGAGAAAAATAAATACAAATCAATTTGTCTATGATTCATTGCGTGTGGTATCGTTTCTCCCCAAAACAAAAATAAAATATTTGGCGGAAATACCACCTCTCATGCGTCATGTTATGTCTAATGTCTATCGTGTCCGTGGTCGATGGTAGCTTCTGATCAGTACTAGCGTATTTGACAATATGCGCAGAGAACCTGTGCACTAGGATGTAAACACATTCAAACATCAAAACAAAAATGGCCACGGCGAGTGGTATGCAAAATGGCAAAATACATACATATATATTTTTTTAATGAATATTTTTGTTTTTGATTTCCATAATAATAAATTATGGTTGAAAGAATTTTTTTGTCTGTTTTCATTCAACTCCTCGAAGACGTGTAATAAGACTGAATTGTACTTCCTCCAGGTGGGGCTGGAACTGATACATTCCTTTACTTCTGATGTGGAAGATACGAGGTACGCGTCTTATTTTGGTCCTGGGGATTTTTTTCTTTTTTCTTTTCTTTTTCTTCTTTTTTTCTCCCGTTGACATTTCATTATCATCAGACTTATTCACTATTAAAGTAAAAAATACTGCGGCCTCATCTTGAAAAAGAAGGTACTTAGGAAAAAGGTCTGAATCCAGGCTTAATATTTTCACACAGAATTATATTCAAGAAAATTCAGCTTGTTTTTAATACTGCGCAATCCCCTGTGATCATGAACAGAACTTAAGGTATTACCTGATGTTAAACCATGATCTAATCCCTTTAATAACCTCAGCATAAACAAATAACAAAAGTTAACACGCAAAAATGCATTAAACGTAATAATTAGTTTACGGGTTGTTATAATCACTGTTTTCTTTATAATATATGAATCCTTCACATGGCAAACAATAGGCTAATAAAAGTTGGCCCTCCGCTTGGCAGCCCCAGAGCAGCCACTCCTCACGAAATAGCGGGGGCAAGTTGAGAAACCTGGGCTGCTTCACCTGCAGCTTTACGACACCCAAATGTATTCCAAAAAGTCTTTGGATGAGGACAGCTAAAGTACCCATTCCAGCCATTGATAAAGCGAATCTACGGGCTCTGGCAAGGGAATTAGATCTCGAGCGGCGGTTGCGTTCCTCAGAAGTTACTGACTTCTCTCATTCTTAATTTACAATGCCTGCCTTACAGTATCAAAACGCATAAAACAACTGCTGTCGTAAATATGGATCACGGATACCGGTGTGCCGCGATATAAGTGAATTTGGAAAATGAACTACTGTAGTAAAATGCATGCAAGGATCATGTTCATATTTGTCATCAAATTGAGACAGTGCAAGCATGATGAACAGTGTATCCTGCAGTCGAAAATTTTACGTTGAGTGGTATCGTTGAAAGGCATTAGAAACAAACGTTCCCAAAAATGCGCTGAATTATAAACAGGACTTAATTTATTTATAAATAACACTTATTTGGTGTAACGTCTTTTATAACCGTGTCGGAACATGCATAAAACATAAAATTTATGAAATCTCGGAGGGAATGTTAGTCACAAGTTGTATTGTTAATGTGAAGAGCAAATCATTCATGATTTGGGGAGGAAGTCAGGTTGCATACTACTTGGGAACTTGGTGCATCGAGATTCATTACATACCTGTTACATCAGAGTCAATTGTATTCTTGACTGCATAGCCAACGGCAAGAACAATTGATGCTTTCTCGGTCTTTTGTATAAAGGATAAACAGTCGTGAACTGATATGCTCAGAAATTGATCATATACATAGAGCATTGATGCTGGCGAATTTAATCTCTGGATACATCCGCAAAATCTTAAGCCATCAAGTATTGTCTTAGGTTGCATGCTTAGAATATACCATATTTCCGCAGTCAATTTCATGAGCGGTGGAATTAAACTTATAAAAGCCTTAGTTGTTTTAAAAGTTTTGTATGGATTTTCTCTTCCACCTTTTCATTTCTCTTGATTTCGAGGGATACGAAATGATCAAATGAAAAAGAAAGCAAAGGTCTTTGCAATAAAAGAAATCACATATATGAAAATGTAAGAAACAGATGGAAGGAAAGGAGAAAGGGAGCAGGGGAAGTAGGAAGAACCGTTGCACAATTCCCAACAAGGAAAAGTATTCCTAAAATACCAATAGGTTTAATCCTTGTTTTCTTCTAAATATCGATTCTTTCTGATAAGATACACCAGTTTCGACTACTGGTTTGTAAATATCTAAGTAAAGGAAGTTTAAGGATGCAAAAACTTTAATATATAGAAACATTTATACATAAATCTTGCCCTGAAGCGCATTGAGGAAAGTATTACCATTAACCTTTAGATGATCTGGGGACGTGTAGGAAGCTATCTATAGGTGTACGGACGAAGAGAAAAGGGAGAAGGGGAAGAATGAAAAGGGGGGGAGGGACAGGGAGTGAGAGAGAAACGTTGTGCTTCAGGTATTAGCCATCTTGGGAGCAAATGCGTTGAGAATCTGCGCAAGGAAAATCAGTAAAAAAAAAAAAAAAAATCAAGGGTGGATCTCCTTACCTAAAATCACCCCAATCCAAACTATCAACAA